TAGCAATGCTGAGCTTAATGTGAAACAAACAAAGGCATAGGGGGCTGGGGATTTAGCTCAGCGGCATAAGCGCCCGCCTTGCAAGCAGGCAGTCGTGAGTTCGATCCCCGGTACCGATAAAAAGGAAAAAGACAAAAAAAACAAAAACAAAAAAAAACAAACAAAGGCATATACACGGTTATCTGAGGAGGCCGCAAAGCATTCCTCTCCTTTCCCAGCACGTATCCAACTCTGGATTTTCTTCATACACTTCAGCCAAAACAACACATGTGGCAGACTGAACACAGAAACAGCTGGTTCCAGCCACGCTGGATTCAGACATTTGCAAATTTGTCAGCTGCCTCCACCCCCCTACTACAAGTTTTCGTTTTGGGAAATAGACATATTTAATAAAAATGTGTCATTTGGGGGTAATATTTGTAATGGGTTATTTGTTAATAAGTATTTTTAAAGTTTCTCAGTTGCTTTCTGATACAATAAGTAACGATAGATACAATTTACTGAAATCAATGCTTCTTAGGCTCTTCAGTAACCTCTATGTAAAAAAAAGTTTTAATCTTTTTATGAAAATAAAGTTTATATTTTATTTAGCACAATATTCATTTTAGAACAAATCCTAATATTAATTCATTTCCTGAAAGGCCCATGTGCTGATACCACCTGACATCCAGTTTAATACTGTTTCTGTGTATTATGCTACAACATTACATAGTCCAAGACCAACTGCAGATATTGATAGGGCAGGGTCCTTGGGCCCCCTCTGCTCTGAGCAAGGAATGAGTGTTCATTTGTTTGACACGGATGAATACAAATATGCTTTAATTTTGGTTTGGGCTGTGAATAAGTGTGAAAGTATGAGTATACTTGTTCCCTGTCAGAAGAGACCAAGACGTTTCTGGGAAAGGCTGTCTGGAAGATCTTGGCAGCGCACTTATCCCCAAGGAACTTATGCGGCAACTCCAGAGCTCAGCTATGGTTCCATACACCTGCCAAGATATGTGTCTCTCCACCCTGGGTGGAAGGAACAGAGCTGATCCAGTCTTTGAAGTGTCAACTAAAAAACAAGAAACTACAGAAGTGACCATGTGTAGAAGCAGAGTAAAAACATGACTTCAGATGTTTACTGTGGTTTGTGTGTTCTCCCCTGCCTCCGGTCACAGATGGAGGCTGAGTTCCGTTCTTACTCTCGGGGAAAAGGAATACAGTTAGGAAGCAACTGTCTGCTGAGTGTTCGGGGCTTTCTCGGTTTGGCATGTGGTCAAGTGCACATAAAAGTAAGTTTCCCTATCTTTTCTTTTAGGCTTTTGTTACAATACAGACCAGCTAAAAAACGTTTTGTGTGAGTTTCACAATAAAAGTATCTGCAGTTTTTATGGAACAAGATATTCTAGAGGTAACTAATTATGTTGTCCTCAAGGATGATTTGCCAGAAAGACAAAAAAAAAAAAAATGAAGCCTAACTATGTACATTAACTTTGGCCCTTAAATCAATTGCCAGTGAAGTAAGATATTACATAGAGAAAGGAAAAAATCTGACGTCAGTATGTTTCCTCTTTGTATTTTAATAGAGGATCAGAAGTGAGAGAGGAGGCAGGGAGTGTGGCGTAGCAGCATAAGTGCCTGCATGGCAAGTGCAAGGTCCTGAGTTTGAGTCCCAGGAAACTCATCACTGGGATTTACCCAGCTGGAAGTGGCCTCAGATACCTGCTCATGGCATCCGAGGCCAACACTTCACATCACATTTCATGTCAGTATATTTAAACATGGCACTGAGTTTAAGTGACACCCAATGACGTGTTGCATTAAAGCAAAAAGGAGTTAAATAAAAAGTACAGGAAATAACAGGGCCAAAGAAACTAGAAGCACAATGAGTTTTCAGGTTTTGTTTAGACCTCTGGTTTTTCTATAGGAATTAGGATTCTTTGTTACAGTTCTTTCTTATTTGACTGATAGATTTTACTAAAATAGACCTTGGTATTCTATTCTTGCTCTGAACTATGGTAGATTGTTTTGTTATAATTGTATTTCATTAATAAAAATGATAAAAATATGCAATATCCAATTAAGAGATCAGCCTAGCTATTCTAGAAAAGATGATTTTTTATTGTTTTATAAAATTATAACACCATTTGGTTTCTTTGGATAATTTGTCAATAGCATTCCACTTCTCCTGTAGATTAAAAATAGCTAAAATATTTGTTATTTTTAGGAATGATACCTGAAATATATAGCAGTCTATCAAATTATGTAACTCCTCCTTTCAAAGAGATTACTCTGCAATATACTTTTGTTTTAGTATTCATATTATCAAACTAATTTAAAAATACATTGTGTTTTTAGTAAAAAACATCACTGAAGAGCCTTCCTTTCTGTGATCATGGTTTGGCAAGTGCAATTATTTTGTATGTGCAAAACTGCATAGCACACAATCAAAGGCTTATATTGCAATATATTACGCAGTTATCGGTACCTAGCTTTCATTTTAAATGTTCAGATATGC